GTCCGTCCGGCTGACTCGCGCGTGTGAGACTCTGGGCGATGACTTGGACGAGATTCGCGAGGCGCTGGCCTCCAAGTGTGCGCGGCTGCGTGAGGTGCGCTCTACGCCGCTCGAGATGATTGTTGACCAGATTCTGGCCATGGCTAATAATGACGGCAGCTGCAGCGGCCCCCTGCCAGACAACATTGATGTCATGTCTGACACCACGTCGATGGCCAGCCGCTTCAGCTCGTTCACGGCAACTGAGACCAACGCGTCGTCGCGGATGACCGGCTCGACAGCGCGCCGGATATCGAAGAACCGCAAAAAGGAGGAGAAGCGCAAGGTGCGCGGAAAGAAGGGCAGCATCTATGAGGAGTCATACTTGGTCGACTCCATCTCCAAGCTTGTTGACCGCGTGCGCGTGCACCAGACAGCAGTGCGCGAGATAATCTGGGCGCTTGTGCACTTTGGCCAGCTCACAGTGGCATCCCAAATGCAGAGCTCATTTGCTGAATTGGTGGACCACGTGTTGGCAGAGGCTGCCTATGTTTTCGACGAGCAGAGAGTGCAGATGCGCTTGGGCGAGAATGGCTTACCTGAGCCTGTGCCAATGGAGGTTAACGAGTTTGGTATGACATCGCAACCGAAGCATCCAAAGCCCATACTGCCGAGTTACAGCTGGAAGATTGATTCGCTGAATCTAGCTAGCAAATAGTTAGTGTGTGTACATCAATATACTTTAAATTGTTGTAATATATATCATACGGACTTGATTATCCACCCACTTTGTTAATGAGTATATTTCATTAGACTAAATTATATTCCATAAAAACTAAAAAAAGAGAAGAGAGAGAACTAACAAATGCTGTTGTTTTGCCCATTTCTTTGTGAGTACAAAGACTCATAGCCATAAAAAAGGGCAAAACAACAACATTTATTAGTTCTCTCTTCTCTTTTCCCAACTTTTACTGAGTACAAATTTAGATACTTATGAAATACACACGTTAAAAAGGACAGTGCAGTCTTTGGCATCACTATGCCTCTCAAAAGTCTCATTAACATGAGTAAAGTGATTATTATTCACATATAAATTAATCTTGTGTTAAACTGATTCCTTAAAAATCTTTTTGGGAAGTTTCCTATTGTCTTCCCTAATTGGCCTTTTATAGGCAATGTAAAAACCCCTCAAATAGTACTGTATAAGTGCCTATTCCGAATTAATGCAGTAGCTCATTGCCTCTCAGCTAAGACTAGCTTATATGATGTTCTATCGGTATCACAGTTGCCCATGTCAGTCACAGAATCTGAAGCTGGGTCTTAGAGATGCCAGTGAAAGTTCTCTTGCATTCAGAATTGTATGCTTCCGTAGTGGACACATGAAACATGTGGCTCTGTGTCTCAATTGGTCCGACAGCCAGGCGATAAAGCATAAACGCATCTCTGGTTCAGTGTACGTGTCAGGGAAGCATATTTTTACAGCAGTAAATGGCAGGGCCACTATGCTTCCAAAAAAAGCAACAAAAGCTAAAAAAATCAATGCACAACAAAGAACAATGCGATTGGAAATTAATCCGTAAATATAATTATTTCTTGTTTCCATATTTCAGCCAACCAAATGCAAGCATGAGAAGCTCAAAGTTTTTTGTTTATATTAAAATTTTTTGTTTTTTGTTTTTGGCGCAATCCATCGCAACAAATTTTCACCTTTGCAACTTTCCACTTTGCTTCTACTTTTAATATTTGCTTTTTTTCCAATTCGCACCATTTCGTTCAATTTGTTTTTTTCACTTTTTTTACTTTTACATACCTAGTGCTTATCACACACACACACACCACTCTCTCTCTCTCTCCCTCCCCCCTCTCCCTCTCTCTTTCCCTTTCCTTTCTCTCAATGATGTCTGAGCTAGCTCCTCCGAATAAGACCCCGCCGAATCAAATAGGCGTAAGTACTTCAATATAAACGATTATTATGATATGATGAATTTTTGTTATTGTTTATTTTGTTTGCATATAAAACCAATTCGGTCACTAATTTAAAACATTTTGTTTTATTTTTTATTAGAACAGCAAGACAGGCGGCACTTTCCAAACGCCCCAGAAAATTCAAAAAAGGAGGAACTGCCACCCGGGGAATCAGAGCCCCCGAAGTACGCGATAAGCGCCGTCAGCGGCTGCTGAAATGCCTCGGCGATAACATAAGCAAACTATCTGTTCGATAAGTTTGTCAAATCGTCTGGGTGTGGAAGGAGCGTATGAACAGTTCATAAGGATTGGCCTGATCTCTTCCTCGACATAGCCAAGGGTCGCCAGTGGCTGATAGCAAGGCATCGTAGCCAATACAGATCGCCGATTGAAGAGCTTCGGCGATTTCCCATTGCTGATGTTTTCAAAAGCAACTCGGGGAAATTGATCGGGTTGGCTAAGGAAGCTCGCTTGGTCAAATATTTTATCCTCCTCTTCGACGCAATGGTCAATGCAGTTCGTGTCGCAAATAAAGATATTCCAGCAGGCGGAACTCCAATCCCAGACTGCAGGCTTAATCTGAGTGACCATCAGATGATGCTATACCAGGCACTCCGCACAAGCCAGACATCGCGTTTTACACAACTACAGAGATGACATTCATTCCGTCCATGCTATACTCGAGGCCAAGATGGATCCAAACCCGTAGAACCCCAGAGGATACTCGTGGCCAGCTCGCAGATTACGGCATTTGCTTAATGATCAGCAGGCAACCCGCACGTTTGCGCCTGTCTTCTACCTCCATGGGCACCTCCTGACGCTTCACGCATATTATCGTGACAAACTGTATATCGTCGAGCTTGGGCGAGCTATGCTTTGATACGATCGTTGGACGCCTGAACTAGCTAAAAGAATTCAGTCATGCCTCATGCGGTTCTGGTTCCTGCTGACTCTTGAGTCGACATTTTCGGGCATTTCTGCGATGTCTCGAGGAATCTGACTCTTTCTTTTTTCGCAGAAAGTCAATGTGGAGAGCAAGGGCGATTCGAAGATCGAAGTCTTATACTCAGCTTCCAGGATGTCAGGATGTCAAGGATGTCAAGGATGGCGCTGCTCTGTTTTGTATCAAGGAGACAATAGCGCGTTATTCATACATGATTGGGCGCCATGTCCATTTATTCAGGGGGACTTGCAAAGGTCGTGATGCTGTGCTGAAGCTTTCCTGGACCCCAGTCAATCGTTTGCCCGAGGGTGCCGCATACGCCATCCTCAACAAGAGACCAGTCGAAGGTATTCCCAAGATCTTTTCGAAGGGCCTGCTCATCAGCAACCTCAATGGATACCGGCTGGAGTTTGTGCTCATGGAGTACTGCGGCCAGTCAATGGCCGAGTACTGAAAGTCAAGACTGACAATCAGAAGGCTGAGCTGGTTCCTGGCTTTGTCAAGCAGCTGACCCTGTGTCTTGCCCAGGCAAATGACACTGGTGTCCTGCACAGGGATATCTCAGCAGGAAATGTGTGCGTCAAAAACGACAAGGTGTATGTCATTGACTGGGGCTGTGCCAAGGTCATTGGCTGGGGCACTGCTGAGGATGCTGCGGAGATGCTGCCAGGGACACTGGACCCAACTCAACTTAAACATATTGAGGTTGCCGAACAGTGGGGATTCAATGCAACAACAGTGGGACAAGTGGAGGTGGCCAAGGACCCATTTACAGGGACGCCGCTTTTCATGGGTATTCCCATGCTCAGCAGCAGCCCCATCCGGGGAATCCTCGACGACCTGGAGAGTGTTTTCTATGTCGTTATGGACGCAGTACGCTCAGCTAATACTAAGAGGGATGATGTTCAGGGGTTCAAGTTCCTGGACAGCCAAAGCCTGGCTTTGAGTCGGTACAGCATCATGATGGTTAAGGAAAAGTATCTGGAATTGTTTGGGATAGGAAATCCAGGGAAGATATTCAGGAACCTATTCCACTCAATGCGCCGGTTCTTATTTGAACCGGGAAACCAGTACATTAGCCACCAGCTCTGGTGGGACAGTAAATTTGTCCGGCAGGCCAACTGGGATGCTGCTCCTGAGTTTATGCATCCCAAGGCGGTTGAGCTCCTCAAAGAGGATAATGGCCAGTTTAAGCGACCAGCTGAGGACGAGATCAATGCTGGGTCATTCAAGAAGCTAGCACTTTAGCTTTTTTTGTTTTTAATAAATCTTTTTACGACCCAAAAAATCAACTGCAAAAAATAAAATATTTGCATTTTACTCATATTTTCTTCAAGTTTAATAAATTTTTAACTCTTGACTGTCCCTCTTTTATTTACAGATTCACCAACCCACCGATCACCTTTCGCCGATCACTTTAACTGTAAACAACATACTTTTAAACTCGCACATTGGCCAATTTTACTTGAACATGGTTGATTTCATCCATAATTTTCGATTTTTGCTATTTTGCCAAATGATTTCAATTTAACGTTATTCTTTCTTTATTTTTCCTTTCCTTTCCTTTCCAATTCACATTTCGCAATTAACAAATTACTGCTCTTTTTTACACCCTTTCAATATTCTTTTGCTAGCATAGACGATAGCTGGTACCACCTTGCAATTGGCGTCGGAGCAGCACTCGGCACATACCGGGTACTTTCGCATCTTTTAGACCAATCACAGTATGAGTTAGATTTCTGCTGCACACAGCCAAAGACAGCAACAGCGACACGCCTGATATTCCAGGACCAATAATCCCAAAAGGGAGTGCGGACAATGAGGCAGAATTGGACATTCAGATGCCCGAAATGGTTAATTCCTTGGAATAATTGGCGCTGAATTCAGAAAACTTTAAGCTGCTGGATACTGTGTCTGAGCTGCTGCTCGATACGGCTATGCGGTGAGAGGTGCTGCAGCTGATAGTTGTGCAGGATTAGGGCAATTCAGCAGCAGAGGGGGGACTGGTTGAGGACAGTTGTGTTGCTGCATGTGCTGCTAATGACACTGCAGTGGGATGGCAAGGTAGTTTGGGCTGACGGCACATGCAGCAGGAAGCTGGCGGCAGGCTGCTTGAGGTGCTCAGCGAAACACTTATGCAGTCAGACAACAGCTCAGCTTGAGGCAGCAGCAAGCAGAGGCAGCAGTCAGACTCTGTGATTGTGTTGGTATGTGCAGCCATGGTAAAGCAGTTTGCGCTGCGTACCGAGTACCACCGGCGGATGATCGACCTGGTATTTCTGTCTGCATTGCTCAGTGTCGCACGCCAGTCAGTGCCTGAGCTTGAGCTTTTGCGCATGCCGGTGGAGAGTCTCGTGTGGCTGTGTACTTTTCTCACAGCATATCGGCTGGCAGCAGCAGAAGAAAATGCAATGGAGATGGCAAATCCACAGATGGTGCAGCTGCTGGAGCTGGGCACTGTCGATGTCATCCCCGCGTGTGTCTGCAAGGATGACCAGGGCATGCCCCATGGGGCATTGGGTTTCTGCATGAGTTTGTGTCGTGAAGCCTTGGCAAGGCACATCTGACAGCAAATCCTGGGTTGGTGCATTGGCCGTGTTGCAGGCTGGTGACAACCAAGTATGCATACACCGACCAACTGATTCTGCGCTCGCTCTGGTGTCTGTGCACATTGCAGGATGCAACTGTGGCACTGGCTGTGCTGGCGAAGGTCATCCAGCTAGAGAACTTGTGGCATGTTTTGGCGATTTTTGTCTCTGGCACCAGCGCCTAGGCGCACTATTGGAGTATGGTGCTGGTAAGCCATGTGTGTTAAACAATTGATTAGTGTCTTGAATAGAATATATATATCTTAACTAAGAAAAGATAGCTGAA